CTGTTCGACGCCCTTCTCTCTTTTCGCCCTACTAGCCACCCAGTCGCCGTTGTCTTCGTCGTTTCCTCGTGGACGCGAGATCCACCAGGGTGCCCTCTTAGCGAAATGCATCATAATCGTTAAGTCGTTAGATCGTAAATCGTGGCTTCGAACCCCCGCCGTAAATGTGCCCCGTCGGAAACAACCGTGAAAGGGGAGAGATAGAGAAAGAGGGAGCTTCGAGGTGTTTTTTCGTCGTCGCTATGGCGAGTGAATTTTTTACGCGACTTTTCGACTTCAGGGTTGCTCGTCGCGGTGCATCTAGGAATATAAACGCATTTTGTTTTTGGTGTTTTGCCCGTTTGTTATTTATACAGGTCGGCGAAAATATACGGTTCTCTTTTTTTTTTTTCAACTCTTTCAGATTTATCACGTTTAATCGAAAAGACATTTTGAATATTTTAATTGGATATCGGTGCGAATCTTCTGTTAAGAGGGTGAAATAGGTGCAGAATTACCTACATTTTACGAGAATTAAATATGCATTTTTCGTTCGATTAAGCGATTTACGTCTGAAAGAGTGAAAATTGAAGCAGCGTGAAAGTATAAGAAAAATGATTATTTATAAAGATTGTTCTTTTCTATTTTTTTAATTTGCAAACTGCAAACACGGAAAATCTGCGCATATCGAGAAGCAGACCTACCTTGTGAGTTACGCTGAAAAGATGAATGGCAAAATGGAATGCTGTTGATCGGTGTCTCATTTTCAAAGCAGATCAGAATATTTCTTCTTTTTCTTTTACAACAGTGATCGCAGCGATGCAATTATTATTTAATCTCGTATAATTTAACGCAGCTCGAAGATTCTACCTCTTAATATACTACTTTTTCTTCCCTTTCTTTTTTTTATTACCTATCGCACCGAGGACCGACTGTTGCTGTTGCACCAACAGTTCTATGTACACTTTTGCCAGTTATTTCTTCCACACTTACAAGGGTGTTGAACTTCGTGCCGATCTTTTCCGAAGAAAGAAACAAATATGAAATATAAAAATTCTAACGCGTCGATAATTATTTTCATCTATTTCCAACAATACCGCCAGTTTCTCTACGTTATTTACAAAACAACAGAGTAGCTGTCTAATTACGCGAGACAACAAATAGCTTCGAAAAAAAAAAGAAAAGAAGGAGACATTCCTTAAAAATCTTCCTTCTCGTTTTTGTCACGTTTAAATGACAATGCAACTAACTAGAAGAAAACGGGTTAAAAGTGGTTCATTCGGCCGGGCTGCTAATACCTTCCTTGAACGGGCTCAGTTTCTTTAATCATCTCGACGCAACTAGTTTAACGTTTCACGTGAAACTATTACCTAATCGCACAAATTCCTTTCTTTTTCGTTTTCTACATTTTCATCGTGGCTCGGTGGTGATCGTTATCACCGATCGTTCGTTGTTGCCGCGCGGCGAATCATGTGGAAGAATAAAAAAAAACGTACGAAATTTATCAGTCGAAGAATCCTCGAACGGTATATCTTCGCTAAAACAGGCGGGTTTTTTTTTTTTTTTTTTTTTCTGCAATACCTACCTGTTCGCAAACAACTGGCACCTCGTGTGTACCAACAAACGGTAGGCGTTGGCGTTTTTCGCGTGCAATATCGGCTAACTGTTATCGTCTATATTTGAAACAACGACGAAGAAAACACTGTTCATGGGACCGTATCATCATTAAGCGGAAACAATATAATACGTACGTGTAATATAAATATTATCACAGTATTTTACAGTACACTATTTACAGATGTGATATACATAAACTGGAAAAAAAAAAAAAAAAAAAAAAAAAAAAAAGAAGAAGAAGGGCTCGCCAGCCGTACATTCGTGATTACCGTGTATGCGGTTCTCTTGTTTTTTGTTTCGTTCTTTTTGTTTTGTTTTGTTTTTTTTTTGTATTTTTTTTTCTTTTTTCGTTTTGTTTCTTTAATCGGAATCATCGTAATCGTAAAGTTAATTATATTATTTGTACTTTGTGCGTCGATGGGAGAGACACGGATATTACATATTCCATCGGATATTTATTAATTAACGATTGCGTGTCCGCTTGTTCACCTTTCCATCTCCCTTTTAAACTGTTTTTTTTTTTCTCTTTTACGCTTGCATGTATGTATAAATTGCTCTCGTGTGCTTCTCTTGTCGTTTTCTATATTTCTATTGTCGTCCCTTTTCGCGTTTCACTTTTTTCTCTTTGCCTTTCCGCGTTAAACAACGCGATAGACATCTATATACTTCTTTTCATCTATCTATCTATCCTGTATTTATATGTACCTGTTCTTTCATTTCGTTCCAAATGTCAAGCGATACAAAAGAAGAAAAAAAAAAGAGAAAACAACACACAACACATACACACACGTAAGCATGCATAATGTGTGAAGAGGGACGAAAGTCGAGGTTTTCTCTACTTGGAGCCTGAAAACAGGGCTGAGGAGGTGGACGAGGAGTGGGTGGGAGTGAGGGAATCAAAGGGGGAATCGCCTGGGAATTTAAATTAAAAAAGGTAATTTTAAATACTAGCTACTTAATCTACGAAAGAGAAAAAAAACAAACAAACAAATACTACACATGCCACTTTCAGTACAAACACAATTACGGAACAATGTACGATGCACACAATAATATGTATATACATATATATACACATGTATGTATATCTATATCTATACATATGTATCCATACACGCATGTATATATATATACATATACACATATATTCAATGCGCAACAATGCCAAGCGTGCACCGCCGGGTCTACTGGCTCGGACTCGCACCCACGTACTACGATTTCTCGTTTCTTCGTTGGCTTTTGTTTTTTTTTTTTTTTTGTTCGTCCCAGGGAAAGGCGGAACGCCTCGACCTGAACGACATGAGTATTAAAAAAGGATGCCTCGATAAGGATTTTTGATGGTAGGAAGTAGGGATTCGCTCGGACGCTTCGATTTTCCGTGATTCCGGCCTCGTCGATCCCGCGAACTAGGTACGATAACGTTACATACAAAATACAATCGAGCAGTACGGAACTGAAGGGAACCAACCGATAACTCGTCACTCCACGACGTATTTCCCTGTGTTGCTCTTGACAAAAGTTGCTTTGCAACAATCTGCTCGAAATAACTGACAATTCCGTTTCACACGGAATAAATCCCGGGCGTTGATCATCAGTGTTCCATCGTTCGAGTAGTGTTTCAAGCTCAATTTGAACCCTTTCGTTGCTGTTGGCGCTTGGAGAATTTAATCTTTAACTTCATCCTTTGCGCGTTTTCTTTTTAATTTCAATCAGATTGACATTTAAAGAAATATGTGCGAAAGGAAAGATCGAATACACCGGGTTGTCACGCGAATTATGTACCGAAGCAGCGAAAGGGTTAACGAACGATTTTCTGTGATTATTTCCAGCAGATTCGGACGATTAAGTACTATTTGTACCGTTGATATTTTTGGAATGTTGTTGAAGTGAAATCGCGAGTATTTTAGATGTAGTTCACTTCAGTTCACCTTAAGTATAATTGCTCGGCGACGATCGATCAACTTACAACATATTTACAGATGTTTAAATAAATAAGAGAGATTGCATCGTCGTAATTATAAATACGATTTAAGTAAACAAGAAAACAGGACAGATAAGAATATATATATAAAATACACGGCTCCTCGAGTAATTCATCACATGAGTTACTACCCTAAGTGCGCGATTAAGAACTACCTCTCCTCTCAGGTTCGACAAGAACGGAACTTCCCGTCGATATGCATTCTCTCCTGCACGTTTCATTTTCTAAAGAAGCACGTATCATAGAAAAAGTCTTTGGACTTTGATTAACGTATAGATCCAGCCGTTAAACCGCCTTTCTCCTAAACTTCATCCTTTAAATCATCCATTTTCTAATGCTTTTTCCCCTCTTCAATAATTCCTGTTTCATTCAAAAAAATAAAAAACAACCCAATTGCACTTAAAGTTTTGATTTTTTCCAACGTTTAGAATATTTCATCCAAGTTCGTTACTCTCGCGTCGAGCTTGTGATCGATTAAATAACGAAACAGGCGAAATTAAAAAAAATTAACCTTAGTGTTTCATTCAGTTCGTTGTAAAAATGACGAAAAAAAGGGGAATGAAATCTCCAAAAGCCGGAAACTCGTAAACTCCACTAATTTCGATCGTCTCTGCAAACTCCAACTGTCGAAAATATAAAGCCGTCGTCGACCAGGTCGACGATCGTTCGTAAAAATCCATCGATCTTCCACGTCCCTGTTTACATTAGAACCGTGGACGTGAATCTCGTAATATGTTTATAGTACGCGTCGACTGGACTAGATTTATACGTTGGAAACGGAGCACCGTACGTTTTCTTGCGCTCGACGATTCGGGTTTTCATCGGAAAACACCGTCACACCACCCGGGCTATTAACGACTCTTTGCGTCGCTCGATCACACGATCGATCCCCAAGTTATATATCGCGTCGATCAATTTTGTTTTCTCCCTCTCTCTCTCTCTCTCTCTCCGTCGAGTAAAGAGCGACACTCCTACCTAAGCCTATCGTTAAACGCATTTTCTTACATCGTGGGCAACAGACGACATGACAAACGAAATAACTCTGTCAATGTGTTCAAGTACCGGAAACCTGCTGTGTTAAGTACACATCGAGGTGATCCTGAGGATGACAGGTGTCCGTGGAAGCGTTCCCTACCCGCGATATATTCAAGTCGAAAGAAGAGAGTTTAATTGCCTCAACTCTTTCCGACGAGCCAGCCGTGGGCAAAACATCGTTCTGAATGTCGTTAACAACTGTACTAGGATCTGCGCGAGCGCGAGCTCACGCGTTACCATAAGTAGCCTCGATTTTACCTCGTCGACTGATTTGGTTAAATCTTTTTAGTGCACCTGGCACGCATTTATGCGAGCTATTTTCTCGCTGTTGGCATTCTCTGCCCCGGTCGTTTCATAAGTCCTCGAACGAGTGGATTTATCGTGAAAGCGGTTACCATCGACGTATTAATTCAGAAACCGGGAAGGAATTATGCAAATGATTTTATAATAGCTCGTCTATTAATCGTAACGGAAGACCGATAGTTTCTTTGTAAAGGGAAGATTTATGAAACGACTCGACAGGAGACACGACAAATTGCTTCGTAATTAATACTTTTTACTCTAAACGATTCACATAACCCGTGAAAACTCGAGGAATTTTCTTCAACGATCATTACAATCGAACCCCTTCAACGAATTCTAGCAAGTTTCGAACCCCAAAAGAACGTTTGCCTGAAATTTTACGTGAAATGAAGCGTCCACGTGCCTAGGTGTCCGGCATACTAATCTACAGGGTCGTAGTTATTCGCGCTTCGTACGAGATACTGCTCTCCTCCCTAACGCACACGTACACACACGCACACGTACACGCACTCAGACAAAACACGAAAAGAAAATAACCGTACTTTCATTGACACCGGATATGATGCGCCTCATCGAGAATTTCGATATTCATCGTCCGGAAAAGAAAGTCGGATGTCGTCCGGAACTTCTTCCGCCACGCTGATTCGTTATTCAGCTTGCACCGCGCACGATTTTACACGTTCACCGAACGACACACGTTAACCCGATAAACGAAACATCAGAGAGTATTTATATCGAATCTCTTCTAATCGTAACAATAGTCTCTATTCTTCGAATCCGCCTAACATTAAAAGAAAAGAAAACAATCAGCACCGCAGAAGAAGAGGAAGGTTCAACGCGTAATACGCGCGTCTTGGACGGAATTGCACCGACGCCGAGGCGTTTGTACGAGCCCTTCGACACCGTTAAACATAGCCAGGAAACGGAAGTCATACTTCGGGAACCTAGCACACACTTCTACATACGTAAAGCACGCGAATCGTCGAGAGAAAAACCGTCCTTTTACAACTGCTCACCATTGAAATCGCTAGAACAATCAAGTTCCATCCTCGGATGGAATCCGTTGGAAAATCCACGATGAAACCATATTCCAACTGTACCTATGTACACGGAAAAACACGACTCGAACCCGTTCCCGAAACAAGTTCTCGCCCTACGCAACGGTCCACGGAATCTCCCGAATAAAAAAAAAAAAAGAAATCCACTATAAGAGAATAAGAGTAGAAGTTTGTCGACGGTATACCGCAAGGATGACGACGGAGTAACGATCGTTCGGTAAGGTGGTAGCCTTGTTCGAAGTCGACGATTGTCACAGCCAATCGACGACAAGCGACGAGCGCGATAAGCGTACGCGGATAATTGCCGTTACACCGGCGGCCCGTGACGGCGACGGTAGCTCTCTAACTCCGCGGACACCGACTCTTATCGAGCATCTCTTCTCTCTCTGCTCTCCACCGATATCCACGGACGCGTTGGACCGCGCGTTCCGACGTTCTTCTCTCTCTCTCTCTCTCTCTCGCACTGTTTCACTCCGTTTGCCTGAGATATCCCGTGGTCATCGATCATGGGAAAAAGTCAGAGGACACGGTAGCTAGTAACAGGGGGTCAGACACGCGGACAGAGCCGGAGGACAAGCGAGCGCTGGTTCGAGTAGGGTAGTACTACCGTTGGGGATGTGAGTGCGACATGTGAGGATGATAGGCAGCATGATGGGGTGGTAAAGGCGAGGGACACGATTGCTGATAAGGACCAGCAGCCAACATGGGCCCAGGACTGGAGCATGGTACCAGGTGCGAGCTTGGCGAGGCCGCGTGTGCATGCGCAATCAGGTGCGCGTGCTGCGCGTGCGAGGGTGGCGCGTGCTGCGAACCCGGCGGCGGTGGCGGCGGCGGGGGCGGCGGATGGCCAGGAGGCCCGCCTGTCGGTCCGCCACCAGGATATCCGCCGTGCAGCGAGCCACCGTGCGGCGAGCCATACACCAGTTGCCTTACTTTCTGCTCGTCGTCGGCTATGTTGTAGGTCAGTTCTGTCTCCTCGAAGCCGGTTGCAGACATCCTCTGGTCGCCGGAGGAACCGGAGGTGGGCGGGTCTGGGCTGTTCAGACAGGTCTGGATCAGCGCCTTCCCAGCCTCGCTCGTTATCATCGGCTGCAGCTTTCGTGTCGCGAACGTGTACACATGCCCGGTCTCGCTTGCTACCAGCAGCATCACCTGTGTACCTGTCAGCGTCGACAGTTCATACGCCTGCAACCAGAGATAACCATTAATTAGGGGATGTCCCGGGACCTTCCTTCGATTTTCTCTCCATCGGATTAACCACACTTCGTTCACCCTTTTTTTTTATTCCCGTTATCTTTTCTCTTCTTGTTAGCTTAACTTTCGTTTTGTTCATTCCACTTGTCTCCAAGCTGGTTTAAGTCCAAGAATGTGTATAGTTACGAAAAGACTGCGAGGAGTATATATATATATATATATATGTATATGGACTTTTCAAAGGGGGATATATCTTAACGGATGACGGGTTCTTTTTTTTGTCAAGAGAGGTGGAACATTTGTGCTCTTACCGAAGTGTATTTTCTTCCAACGTACTTTACCCTGATGGATGAAGTGGAATTACAAGTTTGACGAAAGAAAGCTATCTTCAGTTCATAAAGTTAAAGTTGTGCGATTAAGATAACGTCAGCCGAAAAAGGTAAGGCAAAGTGTAAACCATAAATTCACTGTTACTAGATCGGGCGTGCAACGAAAGTGAATATTTACTCTTCGGCAGGACTCTTGGTCGCTCCACGTGTATCACAAACACCTGCTATATTCACCTTATTTATAGAGCGCGTTTATGCAAATTGTCACCGCCTGCGCAATCGTTAACGTCCGATTTTTATAAATAATTAATTGGAAACGAGCGCACGGCGGAAAAACTGCGCGTGTATTATGCTCTTTATGTTTCAGAGACCATACCTTTTAATGACATAATAATTATCAAGGTTTTGCCGATGCGTTTACAAGCGTGACGCGGACGGAATTCTTTCTTTTTGCAGTGAAAACCAACGCTCCTACGAGGATGCGTTGTATATTTAAGTCGAATCTAAATTGTAAAAAGTCAGGCTGCTAACAAGAAACGTACTGCTCGAGGGGGAACAACGCAACCGCGGCACGAAGATGAATAAACATAGTGGAACGTTATGAAATCGTTGTCTTTGGCTTAGATCAGAATGTTGTTGCATATTTATCGTCAAAGAAAGTATTCTACGAAAGAGTATGCAAAATGAAACAGAGTTAAGAGAACGCTTGCACTTTGCATCGAGATTTTTCAATTAATTAATATTCTTATTCTCATGTGCATGTAGAAAGTAAAGAAGGAATATCGATAATATACCTAATCGTTCAATTCAATTGTCATCCTTCAATTTTTCTGTAACATGATTTATCACTTGCTTCACCATACATTTTCCAATTTCTTCGTAATTTAAAAGCAACAGATTTAAGTACTGCAATTGTTGTGATATTATCAACAAGGAATGTAATTTTACAATACAAACATTTCAAAAGTTTGCATTAATCCCAAAGTACGTAGAAATTGTTCTCTAACTACAAAATTTTCACATTTACAATTTTATGGTGAAATTTAATTATTTTTCTTTTTCTCAACTGAATTCAACTGAATATTTACGTTTAAATTTTCCGTTGCGAAATTCCGCTGTTTATATTCAGTTTAGCTTAAGTTCTCGTTTTTCTAATAACGTTGTAAAGCAATTATGTCAGTTTCGTGTCAAAACATGGCTAATTATAGAGGTCCGCCTTTAGAAAAGGGGAACAATCTATCTTTGGTTTTCTATATTCGTATGAAAGATGCAATTTGCCTTAGGTTCTTCTACGGATTTAGATACGACGCCGTTTCGATCACATAAACAACTGTAACACGATTGAACTGCTGTTCAAATCGGGAAATCTAACTTTAAAAAACAATCACAGCCTATTTTCGATCGTACCGTCGAATTACTTCTTTATTTTTTCTTCCTTCTAGGGAAATATTCTACAGTGTTCAAGCTTGTTGACCCGAGCATAAAAAACTTTCGAGCATAGTTGGCGCTAAAATATAAACAGAAATGGATACGACGTAATTTCGTAGGAAATTGGAACAATGTATTTCTCAGAATGTTAAATTCAACGCAAACAAAACTTAAAAAGCAACTTCTACGATATTCTGTAGTGGTTAGAACACGTTCGTTACCTGAAATATAAAATACAACATTAATTTTATTTTCATGAAGATACGTTACCATTCGCAGAATGAACCATGTGAAAGAAGCTTTAACCACGAGAAAAAAAAAAAAAAGAAAGAAAAAGAAGACAGCAAGAAACCTTAGATTCTCTGTTCGAATGTAAAATTTCGTCGTATACTTAATTTCAGATATGCATTCGCCGCGAATGTTATCAAACGATAACCAATCAAATGTAATTAGAAAGTTTAAAGGGATGCACACATGTGCGATCGACTGGTGAAAAAGGATCGTAAGATAATTGTCAAAATTTCCCAAGTGTTCGTAAATGTTTTCCCGGTGTCAAAGATGCAGCTAGCGTACTACGGTTTTGCTCGGTGTATTTTAATCCAAAATACACAAATAGGTTACTGGCGTACAAATACACGTCAGCGAAAGCACAGTTGTCACTCATAAATCGCGCGCTCTCGATCTCGCGTGCTCGCTAAAGTCATTGGCAGTATACGTTTAGTGCGCGGGATTCGCGTAGCCACACGACGATAATGCACGTTTTTCATCGTTCTTACGTGTCACATTTGAAAACTGGCATTGCTGTTGTCGCCTCTGGGCGTGTGATCTTTTTTTATTTCATAAATTCGAACGCACTTGAACACCTCGTCCAGTTGTAAGACACTTTATGATCACACAGGGAATCGATTCCGACGATCGATCATCGATAGCCGACGGATTCAACACATTTTTTTTACATGAACGAGAAATAGGTCGACAGGTCTGCCGGATACAAACCTTCTTCATAATTCCGGTTTTCCTCTTGGAGAAAGTGGTATACCTCCGTAGTTTATTGTCGATGTACTCCATTTTAATCTTGACCCGTCCTTTGGTCTTCTTGCCGTTCGAGGGGGGTGACTTTTTCGGCTGGCCCAAACTGGTGAACGATTCCTCGAGATTGTCTGGGACACACTCTGCGGACATTGACATGCCTTGCTGTTGCGAAAGAGCCTGCCGTGCATTACTGTCATCGTAACAGACATCCGTTGTGCTCCTCTTGATACCTCTCTGTACAGATCCCACGCCGGCGTTCGGTGCGCCTGCAGCGGCTGCCGCGGCCATCATGGTGGCGCCACCGCGGCTTATTTGAGAAGTTGTAAGCTGGGAGGTGGACGGTCGGCCGTACATTTCCGAGCTAGCGTCGCTGCCTATCATCCCCATGCTGTAGCCAAGACTTGCGTACCGACTGTCTCTTCCGCCGCTAGGGTTGTCCATTACGGACTCGCACACATTTATTCCCTTTCCCTCGGCCCTTCTCCGCCACTGAATCGCGAATACTCGGCGCAATGTTTCCCACGTGATCAACCATCTAGAGGAACACGGGACAACAACGCGCACTGCACGAGCGCTCCCCGCGAACTGAATGCGCGCAGAGTATCGTAACTTGACCTACGTGCTAGCGCGGTGCCTCCGTACGTTCCTGCGCAGCTGCTACCCCCACCAACTTCCACCTCCGCAGTAAAAAAGTAGACCACTCAATCGAAACGAGGCTTTGCAGAAGAAGATTTTCAAAAATTTTTTCGTAGAAAAATCATTTAGCACCCGGTGGTTCTCGATCGGCTTGCAAATGCCTTTTGCGCGGCTTCGATATTCCAAAAATCGCTGCTGAAAGATCACGCGGAGTGGTACAAGAATCAGCGAGAGGGCGTCCCCGGCTGCCATATTTAGAAGTAGACGTTACCATATTAGGGAAAGTTTGCCAAATATGGTGAACAGAGGTGGTCCTTCCTTTTCAAATGATCACTCGGCGCGCCGCGACAAAACACCAATCCAACTGACAGTAGCGCTTCCTGCACGCCTCTCCTCCCCCCCTCTTTTGCCGGTATGTCCTTCCTATTTCTACGTGCTTACTAAACATACGGCTGATAAGCGGCTCTCTGTGTTGGGCCGCTATTTCTTACTACCTTCGAGCTTTCGTGCTTTTATCAACTTCTGTTTATGTTTAAACCGATACATCTAATTTTTGTTGCTCGCGAATCGGTCAAGAAGATGGTTAAGAATAATAACACGGGTTAATAACTATACAATACGTAAAACACTTATCGAAACCTCGTTGCATCGAGGTATTGTTTACGCTTACATTGGAGCATCGATTCGGATGTTACTGTTAATTCTTGTGAATGTCTGCCCAGTATTGCTATACACATCATCATATTATGAATCACGTTTTAATATTTATAACTGAATCTATGTAGAACGTACTAGAAATTGTGTAGAATAAATCTGTAAGCTTTACAGAATTAAATCTAGTAATGGGCAGGGGCATTAAAATTTCATGATATTCATGCCAGAGATTCTTTTCTTTCATGCAAATGTTTTTACATCATTTATAATCATGAACATGTTCAACCATTGTAAACATTAATTGTTCATACAGATTAAATATGGTTACTGATTTATATCAACATATTATTTCTGTAACCTGTACGAAAGAAATAAAATATGCATACATACCTATATTATTATTTCATTCATGCAATTGTAGTACCACATAAAATACATATAAGTGAATGAGAAATAATTTTTTTAGATGACAGATGATTTAAATATCAATTTTTTTTAAATATATTCTTATTTAAAAAACCATAGTTATATATTCCTACATTATATACAAAGCAACAAGATACATATTAAATTGTAAAATAAACTTATTTGTAAAGATAATAATTAAATCTCCTCTTAGAAAGTAATTTATTCACCTGATGCTATTGATTGTGCAGCAGAAACTAAAGTATCATGAACTTCACGAGCATATGCAACTTGTGCTCTTACAGTCATCAAGAACTGAGGATACATTAAAACAGGTGCTTCTTGAGCTCCAACACTATCAATACGTGTTGGCATAATGGATACTGGTAGATATCTTAAAGAACTAGAATTTTGTGATAAACATTCTATAGAAGTTTTTAAATGTAATTCTATTTGATCACAGATAGAGTAAAATTCTTCCATATATTTATTGAATCTGTGATCAGGTTGATCAATACCCTTAAGGGACCCAACATCTACTAGACTATTTTGATGCAATGTATGTGCTGCAGTTTTCAGAGCTATGGCCAATGATTCTCTCAATGGTCCAATCAATGACTTAACTTTAGAAATATTATCAAGTTTTTCTGGAGGTTGTTGCTGTTGTTGTTGTTGCTGCTGCTGTTGTTGAACCTGTGGTTGTTGTGCTTGCTGTGGATTCTGAGGAAGTTGAGGATTTACAGGCTGTGTCATCTGCCCTACTCCAATTGCTCCTGGTTGCTGAATTGGAGGAATGTTCATAGTGACCTTAGTAAAATAATAATTTGAAAAAATTTATATATTATATGTGAATGTGACCTTTGTATACGTTTAATTTACGTCCTTATTTAATTTTTCTCTATTGTTTTAAATATTTATAATTAAGTTAAGCGTGAAAATGCAATTATAACCTTGCAACTAATATAAGTACATTTTTCACAGAACCTTTTATTTTGACGAGTTTTAAGATATCTTGTATTTTAATATTAAGGAGATTTTATGAAGCTTTTACCTATTTATTTGTAAAGTATGTACAGAACAAATAAAATTACTTCCACTGTTTAAACATGTTTATTATGAACTGAAACTTAAACATAGTCGGATCTGAGATTGCACTAGTTTCTCGATCTGTTACCCATGTGTTAAGACAGGATATTAAAATTTCTCTAGATTGTAAAACAATTTTCTACTAGAATTTCTAGTGATATTTTAATTAATTATTTGGCATAAGAACATATTATTATATTTACAACATTTAGAAATAGAAACTTCATTAAAAACCACTAATAATTTCATTAAAAATTATTTGGTAACAACAGAAGATTGAGTGTAGAAACTTTTGAATGAATTTTCGAACTGACATCGACAACGAGTTTCCACTGTTTGATATTTGTTGCGTTTCTATGTTCCATGTAATGTATAATACCGGTCATTTTCCACAATTTGAATTTGCAGTTTTATTTACTGTATTAAGTTTACAATTAGATTAATGTTTTCAGTTACATTTATTTGATTTCAAAATGTATATAAAGTCTATGGTATTAGAAGGATTTAAATCGTACGGAAAAAGAATAGAAATAAACGGTTTCGATAAAGAGTTTAACGCGATCACAGGATTTAATGGTAGCGGTAAATCAAATGTTCTCGATGCAATATGCTTTGTTTTGGGTATTACAAACCTTGTACAGGTACCTCACACTTTTTATACTTTCTCAATAACACGACTTTTCACTTGTAACCTTAATGTGCTCCTACTTTTATTCAAGATAACGCAGTATAAATTGTATAAGTTACAACACAAATGTTTTATTTCTTAAGATCATTTATTAAGTTTTTTATTAGATTTATCATAATTAACATTTTTTCATATTAATAAAAGTAAGAATATTTATTATTCTCTATTGCAGGTACGTGCAGCATCATTACAAGATTTAGTTTATAAATCTGGCCAAGCAGGTACAAAGAAAGCTAGTGTTACTATAACATTTGACAATAGAGATAGTAGTTCATCTCCTATGGGATATGAACATCATGAAGAAATAACAGTTACAAGACAAGTTATAATTGGTGGTAAAAATAAATACTTGATCAATGGATCTAATGTTCAAAACAAACGTGTTCAAGATATGTTTTGTTCTGTTCAATTGAATGTAAACAATCCACATTTTTTGATAATGCAAGGAAGAATAACAAAGGTTCTAAATATGAAACCTGTTGAAATTTTATCTATGATAGAAGAAGCTGCAGGTACTCGAATGTATGAAAATAAAAAAGATGCAGCTTTAAAAACTATAGAAAAGAAGGATGGTAAACTAAAGGCAATAAATGATGTGCGGCTTGATTTCTTAAGTTTTTCTTAAATTTAATTTATTGATATACAGTTTAATTGGTTATGCCATTTCAGATTTTGAAAGAAGAAATAGGTCCAAGATTAGCAAAACTTAATGAAGAAAAGACACAGTACGTTGAATTTCAACGTATAGATAGAGAGCTAGAACATTGCAAAAGAATTTATCTTGCATGGAAGTATGTGAAAACTTTAAATGAAAGTCAAGAAGCAGAAGAGAATGTACAAATTATCAAAGATAAAATAGAAGAGAACATCAAGAGCATTAGTGCTGGTAAAGAAGAAATTAAAAATATAGAGAAAGAATATGATGAATTGGCTCAACAAAGAGATGATGTATGTATTTTAACTGAAAAAGTAAATTTGAGTTATTTACATTTTTCATCTATTTCATTTTCATAGGAACTAGGAGGTGAGTTAGAATCTTTGCAACAGGAATTAAAAGAAACAGAAAAAAAGCAAATTAAATTAACAGCAGAAATTAATAGCAATAAAGAAAGTACCAAAGCTGCTGAAACAGCAGTGAAACAATTAAAGGATAATATAGTAGATGATCAAAATGCTTTTACATCAAAGCAAGAAGAATTTTCTAAAGTTGAAGAGCTTTTTAAAAACTTGAAAGAGAAGGATGAACAGGACAGTAAAGCAGTATTAATTGCACAAGAAAAGTATAAAAAAATAAGTTCTGGTTTATTGGAAAGTCAAAATGGTGAAAATGCAACATTAGAACAGCAATTAATAAGTGCTAAAAAAAATGTAACAGAAGCACAGACACAGCTTAAGCAATTTGAAATGACATTAAATCATAATAGAGCACAACTAAAAAATAAAAAAGCAGATATGAAAAATACTGGAGATGAGTACAAAAAATATACTAAGGATTTAGAGATTAAAGAGAAGGAAGTAAAAAATTTGGAAAATGAACTGAAGAAGTTAAATTACGAAGATGGATGTATAGAACATCATCGAGAACAAAGAAATATTTTGAGAAATGAAATAAGAAGATTGGAGGAAAGAGTAGACGATTTTGAATCAAGATATCCTCAAATTAGGTTTGAATATCAAAAACCTGAACCTAACTTTAATCATAACTCTGTGAAAGGAGTTGTATGTAAACTAATGACAGTAAAAGATAAAAGAGCAGCATATGCTTTAGAAATTGCTGCAGGAGGAAAGGTACTTAATGATTTTTGTGTAACATTTATTTTCTAAATAATAATATTACATTAATATTTCAAATATAACATTTCAACTGATTCTTGTAATTTCAGTTGTACAATGTAATAGTGGATACAGAAACTACAAGTAAGAAAATACTTCAACGTGGTCAATTACAAAAACGTGTTACTATAATTCCTTTAAATAAGGTGCATGGAAGACCCATGGATAATGCATTAGTTCAATTGGCACAGAGGATAGGTGGTGTAGAAAATGTTCAACCAGCATTATCTCTTGTAGATTCTTCACAAGACATTAAATCGGCAATGACATGGATTTTCGGACAAATATTTATTTGTAAAGATATTGAAACTGCTAAAAAAGTAGCATTTCACGAGAATATAATGAAAAAGTGTGTTACTTTAGAAGGTGATGTCGTTGATCCTGCTGGTACTTTGTCCGGTGGTGCACCATCAAAAACTGGATCAATTCTTTTGAAGTTGGATGAATTAAAAACTATTCAAAACGAATTACGTATTAAACAACAAACTCTTCAAAATACTGAGATCACTTTAACAAATATGAACAATGTTTCTGAGAAATATTCTTCACTGAAACAAAAATTTGATTTACGCAATTATGAAATCAGTATGGTGAAACAAAGATTAGAACAAACGGAATATTATAAACTACAGGAAGAGGTGAGTACAATGAATATGATTAATAATAATAATAAAAAAGAAGTGTTAATTGAAGTTAATTTGTTCTTAGATTGATTCTTTAGAGAAATGTATTGAAGAACTTTTGCAAAAAAAGACAGAGGCAGCAAAAAATGAGAAGGAAAGTGCTAAACTTGCCGCAACACTGGAACACCAATTAAAAGATGTGGATAATATTCGTAAAAAGCAATTAAAGGAAATTGAAAATGAATTAGAAAAATTGAAGAAAAAAGCTGAAAATAGTCGCAAGGAGTGGCAAAAAAGAGAACATGAGGCAGAGACACTTCAATTGGAAATCAAAGAATTGCAGAAGAGTATAGAAGCTGGAAAAGAACAGTTAGTAGCATCTGAAGAAACGTTAAACGAGTTAGAAGAAAAAGCAAAGTCATTAGGACAAGAACTAGATGAAATAAAAGCTAATGTAAATCAGTTACAATGTGATATAAATGAACGAAAAACCGTTATCAATCAGCAAAATGCTTTCATGAAGAAGCTTATAACACGAAAAGAAGATATTATAAAACAAAGTAAAGAAGCAGAATTAGACATTCAAAAGTTAAATCATGAAATTAACTCGATTAAAAATATTGCTACAGATTGTAAAGAAAGAGTTTCTGATCTTACTCGGAAATACGAATGGATTGAACAAGATAAAATTTATTTCGGGAAAACAGGTAATACATATTTTGCAATGAAAATCTGTATTAAATTTATTTTTAATTTTTAAGAGACTTAACCATAAAATATAAGTACAACGATTACAATCGATGCGTGAAAAACTAAGTCGAAATATTAATACACGTGCTATTAGTCTCTTTGATAAAGAGGAAGAACAATATAATGAAATGATGAAGAAAAAGAAAATAGTTGAAAATGATAAAAGAAAAATATTAGAAACAATTAAATATTTAGAAGAAAAAAAGAAGGAAACATTATTAAAAGCTTGGGAACAAGTACTGTCATTTGATATTTAAGTTGATCTATATAATTTAAATATTAATATTTTCATTATATTATTCTTATGTATAACTTTTTAGGTAAACAAAGATTTCGGTTCAATTTTTAGTAGTTTACTGCCAGGGGCTGATGCAAAGTTACAACCTCCTGAAAATCAAACTGTCACTGATGGGTTGGAAGTGAAAATTGGATTTTCTGGGATTTGGAAAGAATCCTTAGGAGAATTATCTGGCGGACAAAGATCTTTAGTGGCTCTGTCCTTAATTTTGGCTATGCTTTTATTTAAGCCTGCTCCACTTTATATTTTAGATGAAGTTGATGCCGCGTTAGATCTTTCTCATACGGAGAATATTGGTACAATGCTAAAAAGGCATTTTAAACATTCACAATTTATTGTTGTATCATTAAAGGATGGAATGTTCAACAATGCTAATGTAATATTTACAACTAGGTTTGTTGATGGAATGTCAACAATATCTAGATGTGAAAGAAGAAGAAATAAGTAAATGTATCATACATTTCGCTCTACATAAACCTATTTGTATAAATAAATTAAGATTTTTGTACCTATGATAGATGTTTACATATTTAATATATATTTTTTAAATAACATATCTGTACAATACTAGAATACTTTTTATAAATTACATTTTAAGTGTGCATATAATGCTCTGATTATTAAAAAAATTCCAAACACTATTCCTTAAACAAATATAGATCAATACAGATAAATTCAATATTATAAGTAAAGTTTTATTACATCTACTAACTTTACCACTGTTAAATGTTTGTACAACATATAATCAATAAAAATCATTTATTAATAAGAAAACATTTATAACATTTTTACTTTAATTCCTTGAAGAAAAAATTTAAAACATTTGTACGATTTAGAAAGAATGCTACATTGTTAAGAATTTTTTTAATATCCATATATTCTATAAAAATGCAGTAAAAACGAAGTTTTACGACTTTTAGAGTGTATTTACCAAACTTGACCAATTAGTGTCTTTAAAGAATGGATGTTGTTTTATCTCGGGTATTGTCATCCTTTCATTCGGTTCGTATTTTAGTATCTGCAAATTTATAAACTTTGGCGGAAAATTCTATATTTTACATGTACATTCAAAGAATAGTGAAAAACTTACATTGAGGAGCAAAGATTTTGCACTTTCGGAAAGTTTACTAGGAATGTTAATAATGGAATGTGATTGAAATACACCTGGGTGCTTTACTTGAAATTTCTGCAATATAAAACTATTATATAGTAGCTCTGTAGTATTATATTTTTACGAAAATTTTATTTTTACGTACATTACCCACTATTAATTCGTATAATATAACGCCAAAGCTCCAGATATCTGTAGCTGGAGTAAGGGCTATCATGGGTGAAAACGTGCACAATTCAGGAGATGAGTACGGATATTTATACTTTAATAAATCTATGTCATGACGAGGCATAATGTATGTTAATTGCACATGCCCATTATCATCAAGCAATATATTATTAGGTTTTAGGTCAAAAACTATAACTTCTTGCTGATGTAATGCTTCTAATGCTAAAAGTATTTCAGCTGCCCAAAGACGAATTACATTTTCTGGTATTGTCCAAAGTTCTTGTTCAGTATCTATATTGCTATTTTTGGTTGATTCCATTAAACAAGTATTGTTTTGTACGTGCTGATCACCTGATATGCAATAATTATTTATTTCAGTTTTGTTACAAATTTCTGTTGATCTACTTAATTCATATCCTTTTGTAATAAAATCATTTTTGCTACTATTTTTATGTTCTGTTGCAAAATGTGTGTTATCTGTTTTTAAACTATCCGTTGAAGAATTTGATTCTTTTTTTTCAAAACTTAGATTCTTGTAACTATTACTTAAAGATGAATTAGCGGTACTGCTTTGACTTTTTGTAATTGTAATATTATTCTGTGACAAATAGTTAGAAGTTATTATATTTTTTTCAGGTATTGTATCGTTTGTAATCTTTTTATTTATGCCGTCAATTTTTAATGAGATATCATTGATATCCACTGATACTTCGTTATAATTTTTTGACTGGTATACATTGTTTTTAAAATTCAATAATGAAGTATTATCTTGATGGTTTATTAAGTCGTCGGATTCACATAATCGATTGGCAACAGAATTACTTTCCCTTAAAGTTGCATTTACTGATTGCAACAGTATTTGTGCCTTCTCTAATAATTGTGTAGTAGATACATCACTATATTTTTCGTATTTTTCTTCTACTGTTACTGGATGCATCTCCATTTGTACTTTGGTATTTGTACTTATAAGATTTAAATTTTCCTTTAACTTAGTGCCTTCCATTTCATTTTTTATATCACCTTTTCTTAAAATAATATTACCATTAATTGTTTTCTCAGTAACACTTTTTGCAGTTATTTTATCACAATTTTTATTGTTATTGGAATTGTAATGTGATGTTATAAAATCCCATAACTTTCCACGGCTGTAATACAATAAAATAATTACCTTTCAATTAGTACTGTTAAATAATAGTGTTATTCGTAATGTTTACCTCAAATGCTGTAAAATTAGGAATACTCTTGTTTCTGTTTCAATACATGCATGTAAACGTACCATATACGGTATTTGACCGCGTAATATGTAGTTACTTATACTTTCTTTATTTGAAGATAATTTTTCTATAGCCTGAAATTATTAAAAGCATTTTTGTTTAAATTTATTTCACAAATAGTACCATTGTAGAAACTTTACAATAATTCTTATGTAAATAAGGGAATTATTATTTTGTTTATATATACATTAAACTACATTATTTTTAAGTTATTCATACTTTTACAATGTTGAGGCAGTTTTGGCGCACATCGTTTACAAGCATCACGGATTCTATAATTTGTAATACTTTATAATATTGAAGTTCCGATACAGGTTTATTTAACAATGAAATGTTACAATTTAAATATCTATTATAAAGCTTCTCAGCACGTTCTAAATATTTCGATATTTTTTCTTTAATTATTTCTGCCCGTATTTTATTTGAGTCAGATTCAACACCAGATTGTAGACTAGAGATTCCCCTTTTGTATTGAGTAAATGCTTCTTCATATTCAGTAAGATCCTCATGTTTAAAAGCTGCACTCATATGTGCAGCTGCAATTAAAATATATTGTGAAGAATCTGGCCATGATTGTGGTAAATCAGATCCATCATGAGTAATTACTGGAGAACTTAAATTCTCATTAGTGGTATCAGAATTTATATCTGTATTTGATGTTTGTACAATTGTAGATCCTTTCTCATTCTTAACATTATAATTTTTATCTTTATAGCAATTATTATTTTTATTACAAATTAATTGATTATGCTCTAATTTAGAAGCAATTTTGTTTGGGTCATTGTCTTCTATAAGTAAATTATTACATGCATTTTTTGTCATGGATATTTTCTCATTTTCAGTTTTGTACCTTAAATCATTTTGTTGTAATGTTTGTTCTTTAGATTCACATGCTTCTTGAGATTGGTTTACTTCATTTTTAGGAATGGATACATTTATTAATGAGCTTTGAATACTTTTAGGTTGAAGAATAGTTTGAGAAACAATGTCATTATTTGGCAGGGAATTTATATAAGTATGACGATCATCCTCTGCTGATGTATCAGAGCTAAGAGATTGTGAACAATCATTTAAACAATAGTCTGCATGACTAGTTTCAAAAAATTTTATGAAAATATCACTAGAATATAAGTATGAATGTCTTCCTATAAATTCTAGAAATTTTAATGCACATTCCCTTCTTTCTTCAATAACTTCTGCTTCAAATCTGCCAAAAAATTTTGGCTTTGGAAATGATGGATAGCTTTCTTTAGTTCGTGATTGTGAATATAGAACATTCAATTCTGAATGAAGCTTTTTGAAGTCATTGTACCGTTTCCACACAGATACTTTAGAAATTTCTTCATGAGAACATTTTAAAAATACCTGAAAAATATATATACTTCTCAATTACAAATCAAAATACTATTTTACATTTAAACAGTGTGTTTCAGTGTTTCACAGTAAAAAAAAAAGATTATTTTATCTTACTTTTAATTTATTTGATTATGAAAAATTTTATTTAAAACGCACTACAAATTAAATCAATATTTCACTTATTGTGAAACACAACACAATGACATTTGATATCATACCACAGATGTGACTTTGTAAATAGTAAAGCCTTTCTTATGTCGTGTCGTTTCTGGAATAATAAAACGCCTCACCCATTTATCTCTCGTGGGTGCCATCGTTTGTATACTTAAATTATAAAACCAGAAGCTCGATGAAGCTATTACTTTACCGCTTTAATTTGCGTATTTCTGTCATCATACTTTCACGTATCTGGCTTTTTTCTTCGTTTACGAGGCATGTATATCGTAACTGATGAATTCTCAAATAGCGTTACACGTATGCATTTGCACTTATCAGTACAATAAATTTATCGTTATAGGCGATTATTTACGATACATGTGACTTTACGAATTTTATATGGAATTCGTGTACGTCGTATTTTAAGTCATGGTGAACGACTATCGAATTGTGGACTCCTTCCGTGTAAACGTTTTCGAAATACACCTGTGTAAAATATTGTAATTATATTTGATTACAACAACACTATTACGATATCATGTCAATGTTATCTTGTTTCACTATTTATCTATTGCAATTAAACAACTGCGAGAAGTGGAGAATGACTAATTTACCTCAATTCTTTCTTTCTTACCACCTGAGTGGTACTGCGCGTGCGATAGCATGTCATGGGCTTAAGAATAGACAGACATGGAATACGAATTGACGTATGAAAAGGGATGAAGTAATTACCGTTGACCTCCTTTCACGATTGTTTCTTCTTAGATTGACATTTTACTTACTTTCATGAATATTTTTAGAAATTGTTAAATTTGTTCATGCGTAAATGATTATTATATACGTGTTTTCTGGAATACCTTAATATTACGACGTTTTTAAATAGGTTTTAAAATTTAAATTAAAAAATTTAATGAAAAATTTTGTTGTACCTTGTAAAATAGTTTTTAACATATTTTTTTTCTATTCGTTTGATTCAAATATTGTACCAATTTTTGTGTATTTGAATTTAGTTCTCCTATGACATATTACTAGCATAGAGGGCAGATTGAAAATTAGACAGTTAACTTGTATAATACCAAGAAAATTTTGCTTGCAATAAATTAGCATAATTTAGTCTTTTAATTACATTTTATATTACATTCTGTTTTAAATATATCATATATGTGAACTATAAGTATTTTCGTGTCTTGCTGTACTAGGGAATTTTAGTGCGTAACTGTTCTTATATATCAGAAGGGGTAAAATGGTGCCCGAATATGAAGTCGTAATATGTAATGCGATTACTTTTTTTTTTGTCATATTTTTAAAATTATATCTAAAATGATACCATATTTGATTATTACAAGTAAACAGTTTTTTAAATTAAAGTTATATTTAACACATTGTATTCTGATAAAAGCTTTGAAAATTCGTGTTATAACAATTGCTTTAAAACTTACTTTCAGTAGAATTACGTAAATAAAAGTATATCATCCGTGCCTATTCTATTTCTTTGCAATAAAATCCAGTAAAATATTAAAGGCAAAAATTTAACTAAATTATGTAATGTTGTTCGTACAATTTCACGAATTGATGTAAATATAATTCAATCTTTTGCAACGAGTTATTATGTTTCTATACGTTTTAACACGCATATAATAAATCTATAACCTTATGGCACTTTGTGTTCGACGTTCTGAAATACCGATCGCGTAGAAAGTCAGAGGTATTGTGATGCCCTCTATGAGAATAGAGCAGCGAACTTAGGAATTATATACAATCCAACCATCGAAGATGGTAAAGTCGACAGACGTGAAAGATCCCTCTTTGATAAATCCGTATGTAAACATTCGCTACTTACATGCGGATTAAACAAAAATATATTATATCGAATCGCGTGGGTAGAACTTTGACGATCTCTCGGAAACAGTAGAATACACACATGAGATGAAACATTCATTAATGGAAAATTATGTTTTCATATTTTGTATTACAATATAACGAGAATATTATCAATTTATAAAATTTTGTTGTTGAAAGTGAATCTAAATGCGACCTTATTAAGAATGCTTTTAATTACACATAATACTACTGCAAAATTTATCGTTTATGATATAGTCCGCAAAACATTGGTGATTTAAGTATCTGTTACTGCAAATGTTGCTTATTTCTATCTTATTACAATTCACCTTTAACTATTGTGCAAATCTGAGGTTAGGTAACGATACATATTAGATTAAACTACGATCTTTTAATATCGCAGCCGATTTGCTCGTATTATTTGCTATACAATTGTAATTATACAATGTATATCAAATATCGATTGCCCAGGCCTCACCACGTGGAGGTTGCTGCGAATGGAGGCCCGCCCTAACCACACGGTCCCATCCACCCTCCTTTTACACGCCTACTATGTATTCTTTTTTTATTTATTAATGCAACGCAACACCTCCTACCGATTGTACATCTGCAATACGTTCGAATTTTCGATCGTTATGCAGACGGACAATAGCAGGAGACTGAAAAAGTTTTAACTAAAAAAAAAAAAGTCGACGAGAAAAAGAAAGAAAAAAATACAAAAAAAAAAAACGTTAAAAGTATCCTATTAATTTAAACTTAAAGTACTTTAAGTTTAGCTTAAACTTATCTTACGCCTAGCTTACAGTATAACCTCACTAACATTCGACTTAAACTAGGAGTTACCCTAAACCTGACTTAAACTAGGACTGATGAAAGCCTTAATTAATCGATGCATGTATCATTACTCTGTATTTTCATCACTACACAAGAATATGCGAAGTAGGAATATGACTCGTGAAATATTTGAAACACAAAAGAAGAAAATATAAACAAATACGTCCCACAAAAACGACACAGAAAAATCAGGTGTTTCTATTCAAAATTGTTTACAGATAACTAACGAAAGGAAGAAGATTACAATGTTCACAATCTGAGAGCTGCCGTCTTATATAAGATGTAACTCGAGCACTGAATTATCATTACAAACTTGCCTACTTAAATATTAAAATCTTAAATATTATCCTGTTTAAGTAAAATTTTTACTTAACTTAAAAATTGCCTACCTGACTAAGAATCTAACTTAATGTAAAACATCACCTGCCTGTCTAATGATTTAACTTAAATTAAGAATCGCCTACCTAACTAAGAATCTAACTTAATGTAGAACATCACCTGCCTGTCTAATGATTTAACTTAAATTAAGAATCGCCTACCTAACTAAGAATCTAACTTAATGTAGAACGATGGCCTACCTAACTAAAGATTTAACTTAACTTAAAAATTGCCTACTGTTGCGTGGCACGCAATTTCACGTGAGCTCTCCTCGGTCTGGCGGATTATAGCCATAAAAATCTTTAGTCACCTTTGGCCGCCAGACCGAGGTGCCGAACTTCACTTCGGCCGACCAGACTCCCCTTTTGGACTACCATGCGCCACGCGAACGTCATTGTTCGCGCCCGCGGTAGATTTGTCTGGTCATAAAACGGTACCGCTTTCGGGGCTGACAATTTTGCATTAACAAATTCGTTCCCCCAAAAGCGGTCACCCGGAAAAACCCACAGGCATCCCCTTCTTCGAAGAAATGCACTGTGGGCGCACGGAGAGGGTTGTCGCCACCATTTAGGCACCCTGATCGATGAATTTGCACTTCACAAAAA